AGAGATTTAGCAAAGTCCTTTATTATTGCCTGATTTAAATGATGAAATGTTTATCTAATATCGACCTGTCCCGGCTATGGGATGGAGCAGCCATATTTTTAAAATATGCTTTTAGATTCTTTTTTCCACTTTGAGCAATGGAGCTGAAGGTTATAAAAGGGCTAAAGCATAGCCCTTTGCTTCCTGGGTGGCCTACTTTCCTTGAAATGTCAACAGAAGGAAACGTCAGTTCCTGGAAGGGTTCAACGGACGCTATTTTTAGCTAGCGCCATTAAAACTTGTACCAGCTGTATAAAATACATCTAAGATACACTTAACTAAAATATCGATGTAATAAAAAGAGAAATATTTATATGATTACAAATATACAATAATAGATTACGTTGCAACCGGCTAACGACAACATTTTTTTAATGTTTATAGTATATGACAATCGTATTATTAATATACAATATTGTATATAACTAGTACTTAAATATCCACGTAAAGATCTTCAGAATAGTATAAAATCTTTGAATTAGTATAAAATAGTGAAATTCGCTTCATCATAACGGCTTGAAATTATTTAACATTTGAATGATTAATACATTATGTGACTCCGATGGTTAACTAATATTTTTTAAACCCAGAGTGATTCTTGTGATTCAGAGTGACACCACCAAAAAAAAAAAGACTCGAATTTATATTATGTATACAAATTACGAGTGATAATTAACATAATTATTGTAAAATGAACAATATAATATTATACATAAAAATAAATTCATATTAATGTTGTTTTTTTTATATCAGCTTTTGATCTTTACGTAAAAGTTTGAGGCACATGAAGTTTTGAAAAACTAGATGACATGAACTCTCAATTTTCCTATGCTTCAAATATCCGTGAGAAATATGATATAATCTTCACGTAAAAACGGAAAAAATTCACATGTATGAACCATAAAATCCTGGGATACGTGGCTACATATAATTATCTTTGAATATAAACTAAAATTCCACTAATAGGAACACAGGATAAAATACTTGCGTACTTATCTCTATCACTTAGCTTAGCCATCTAGTCGATTTTTCATATTTCTTTAATTGATTTTAGTTTAAATATTTTGTTTATTCAGGCAGATTCATTGATTTTGATTTGATTTTTTTTCTCAATATTTTGTGGGCGAAACGATTTTCTCACCCCCTCTCCATTTTTATCGAAGTCTAAGCCTATGGTTAAGCCAATAGATCATTCATGATATAAAGACAAGATACATACACATCTGTATACAGCTGAAAAGAGCTGGTTGAGATATCTTGTATACTAAACCACATTAATACTAATATCGAAGATGCCCCTTTGTAATTCTGTTTCACATGCTATCCTCTTGAGGTTCTTCTTACTATATCTTTTTTGTTTTTAGATTTTTTTTAAAGGTATAAATTGTAAAGAAAAAAATGTTTCTCTGCGTCGATCCTGTGCTCAACTATCTTAACTATGTTCTTGAATGCTTTACTTCTGTATACCGTCTCAATCTCTATATCTTCAATGCTACTGTAGTATTATTACTGCTGTATTTTTTAACCCGCTATCCTTTATTATAGCCGCAATAACGTGTCTTATATGACTACTATCAGAACCACGAAGCTGCGAGATATGTAGCGTCCAATTAGCAGAAATGAGATAGCTGGGGCCGAGGGATGAGAAATGACCTAATCTCGTTAGCGGTGTGGACACACCTTGTTATCTCCTTCCTAATCTATACTCCTCCTGGGATCTATACTGTCCCCATCGGCAAGAAGGGATAGCTTCACGTGCTCAAGTTTAGACCGAAAACTCCCTTCCCTTACTCTCTCCCTTTAAAAAAAAAATTAATATTAATTACAAAAAGAAAAATACATATATACATTTTAATATATTTATATTTATACACTCATTTAAAATCTATATCCTGCATCCTATGTTTTGTTTTGAGTTTGTTTCGCATCCATTCAGTTGATTTTCTGAGACAAATTAGGTTTACACCGAAATTATGCAAATTGATATTCTAGGTTTTTTTTTTTTTTTTTTTTTTTTTTTTTTTTTTTTTTTTTTTTTTTTTTTTTTTTTTTTTTTTTTTTTTACTTTTTCATTTAGTCAACGCCAAAATAAAGAAGAAAAAACATTGACGGAGCATCACTATTTTAGTTCGATGAATCAGTCCGTATACCTGGAATGATGACATAATGAATGCGAACGTAGTCATTCTTTTTGGGAGGTTGATTTCATTTGTCGATATCCAAATACGGATGAACTAAGTGGAAGATCCATGAGAGGAGAAAAAAGGGAAGTTTTCACTCCTAAAATAATCAGTCAACAACAACGATACGTCTATTCCAAATATAATTGCTGTTGATAGTACTTAAAAATAACTATGAATAAATTATTAGTCATTCAGAAGGGTTACAATCGATTTATTACATTTTTTCGGTAGACCATGTAATATTTCATCTAAATTTTACGGTCACACTGATGGTTATCCCCTATAAAAAAAATAATCTCTAGATATATCATTGGATGAGCTGGCTTATGTGGTAGCTTTACTGAAGTTGTTATTCTAAGTCTATATTGAAATCACTCAACATTATGATATTTATTAAAATATAATTTTATATAATATAAAATATAAAAAATCGACTTCAGTATTAACTGAATAAACACTATTTTACTTTATTTCAGAATTGAACTTTATGGATGTAAACAAATGCTCCAAGTCCTATCGATCATTCTTAAGTTTTATTCTTATGAATAACAAAAGCAGCGACGACTTTCTATAAGCTAAATCCAGCGAAATTGGGCTGTACCCCGTTAACTTGATTTGATCCCATGTTTTTTTTTTGGGGGGGGGAGTGGAATTAAATTTATTAATTTTTCACAAACAATTTATGAAACCCTCCGTCTCTCTTTATCGTTGGTAAAAAATCTCTGCATAGTGTTTTAGTGACTCAACAAGCGACATTTGTCTACAGTGCGTTATAATAGTGTTCGCATGGCATAAATTGATTGGGAGAAATAAATTAATACATGAGAAACACGATAGTGAAGTAGTGCAACGACATATTCGTATCTATCTTTTCTGAGGTCATGCAATTATGAAATTAAGTTTTTAAAGATAAATTTAGTTGTGATCTCTAAAACGTTATATTATATTAATTCAGTTATTTACTGCATTATAGATATTAATTAATTAATTTTTTTTTATAAATTTTACTCAAAATCTTCTAAGTATACAGAATATAAATGCATCATTTTTTTAAATATTTATTTTACAAAAAATATAACAGACAAAATATTAAAAACAATATAAGTTTTAAATCTGCATAGATTAATAGATATCGTGTATAAATGAATAAGAAAACAAAACATTAACAATTAATAAATGATTATTATCAATTATTAATTTATTAATATGAAAGGTTTCAAAGATGAAAATTCTATTTATATATTGCTTAATATTGCCGGCAAATGTCACTAACAAGAGATCACAGTCAGTTTGGTCTCTTGTTGCTGCTTTATGAATTACTTGTGCATTGTCGTTTCCAGTAGACTAGAGGCCTAAAGCAACTGGCCCTTAAAATTTTAAATATGTATTAATTGGTTTTTACCTATTTATTGAACCTTAATTTGCTCAAGAATCAATAATATTTATTCTTATTCAATAACATATGCCACACTAAATATCTATCCTATAAATTTCGACAATAGACCTCATTCTTCTTTTCCACCAATCACTATAGAGTACGTTATTTTTCTAACACTTTTAAGACCATGTCGGAGACTTTAAATGAAAAACTGAACTTAAATAGGAACTTTATTCTCTGTTCTATCAGTCATAAGTGGACCCTGATATTAAGTGGGGACCTTACCCTTCTACAGAGATGGGCAAATGCTACTCTGAGTACCATGTACCAAGTATTTTACTCAAATTGAATCGCTGTTGAGAATTCAATCACTACTTCAATTAATAGTTTGCATCAACTGAAGCAGTAATTAAATTATTTGCTACTCAAAAAAGGTCAGTATTTGAGTAAAATACTTGGAACTCAGTACTCAGAGTCAGGGATGCCCAGAAGAGGGTTTCATGGCTCAAGTTGCACCATCAAAATTTTTGAGGGGGGGGCATATTTTGACAGAGTTACGAATTTTCGGAAAGAAAAGTTTCATACTAAGGGACAATGATAAAACATGGAACAGACCTCAGAAAGCGTAATTGTGTATGATCTACGATTTTTCTAATTCTACCTTAGATGCCTCTGTTTTTAAGAAAACGAGAGCAATAATATTTCTTGGGAGTGGGAAGAGAGATGGGCAGGAGCTTGTGCCCATCGACCTTCGGAGGATGGGCACACCTGGTCAGATTAGCATTTGCCCATCTCTCTTCTTCAATGAGTTTGGTATTTGTTTCAGATTAAACGTGGTTCTAACCAAATGAACTCTTTGTGTAGCCATTGGTCAACTGCACTTTCTTATCAAATAATAATGTGTGAACGCATTGTAAGATATATTGTTATTATAGGTCCCCTACCCTTCACTCCCTCTCTCTTTCCTTCTCCCTGAACCATTGATTGAAATGAATGAGTAAATTCCTTGAACTGTTTTCCTTTGTTCATTCATGATAAACATATCATTAAAAAGAAAAAATCCATACTGTTTGTTTTCTTCATACCCACTTTATTAAAGTAAGTCGGTTTTCAATCATTGCACCTGTCAGTGAAAGCAACTAATTTAAGTTAAGAAATCGACCAGTAATTCCTTAACGGTCAACCTCGGCTAGGATTTCGTAACTAGCGGCTGTCATTATAGACAGGGAACGCAATACTCTAGTGAAATCTATTCGGTACATATCTTAATAGGCAACGGTATAATATATATTTTTTTTATATTCGGATTTTAATAAATATAATAATAGGAGAGGGCATTATGTCGAAAGTGAAAGGGAATTAGAGTTGAATGCATACGAGCCGGTGTTAGGTAATGGCCAATGGGGACCGCTATACTCAATACTCACACTATCTCCTTTGACAAAAACCCCTCCAACACTTTTACCGGATCAATTCAATCCAGGCTGTACACACAGGATCGTCGGTCTAGCATCAGTTATGTAAAGAGTCGATTCCTGTCTCACTTTCCTCCAAAGGAAATGTAGTGTAGGCTCGTCCAAAATTTTCGGAAAAGTAATAAGCTAAATCTGTCTCAAAAAATAAATTTAAGCAGAGAGATCAATACAGTTCTGAAAAAATGAGTTAATGTTGGAAAATAGCTCTTTTCCTGGTGTTGCAAATGTGAAATGCTAGAATGCACTGCTTAAGTGACGGAACTAGAGGCTGGAAAAGTGAGTAATATTCGTGTGAAATTTTATTTCTAGCTTAATCAACTATTAAACTATGACTTAATAAGTTATAGAGCTAAATATTCTCATTTACATCATTCTGCAAATATTTACGAATTTTAAGATGTACACTCGTGATTATTTAAATTTCATCACCAATTTCTTTTGATTCTTATGTTGATTCTATTAAATGTTTTTTTTTCTTTACTTACTTAGGTTACAAGAAAACTTAAACAGTGTTTTCCAGTTCAATTTTAACTAATGCAGGGATAAAAGCTGTAGTTATATAACGTAATTAAGTATAGCTCTCTATTCTTGATTGTTAAGCCATTCAGCTTTAAGCATCCAGTTAAACATAAATAATACTTGTTTTTATATTCTTAAGTCACAATATGATACCTAAGTTGCTCATCCCCACAAAGTCGGTGGCGCATGAATCATCCCCCCTCTCCAAAAATTGTATTTCTCTCTTCTTAAAAACAGTGCAAGTGAAAGTAAGATTAAGCAAATCTAGGATCATATACAATTACACTTGCTGTGGTCTGTCTCATATTTTCCTCCTAGCTCTGTTTTGAAACTTTTCACTCCGAAAATTCATCATAACCCCATCGAAATGTGCCCCCCCCCCTCAAAATTCAAAATGTACCTCCCTCAAACATTTTTATAAATTAGTTGTGCTGAAAATCATGAATGTAAGCACTTTGAGCTTTGAGCACAAAACTACTCCATGCTTATGGTGCACCCGTTGATTTGGACATCGGCTAAAAATTAGCAATATCAAATCAAAGTGGGCAGTACGGAAAGGATTACTTTAAAGAAGTCCATTCCTGTCGCTGCTCAACCTTGATAACTACAAAACTAAGGGGTCATGATAGATACTAAATGGCATAGTCGGATCTACGGAGAGAGAGGGGGAGCTTTCGGGGTGAAGCTCCCCTCCCTCTTCCCCTCTCCCCCCCCCCAAAAAAAATGGTAAAATATAATCATGTTTTATAGAAACAAATATTAAAAACTATCTCTTAAACTATTATTGTTCGTGTAATCACATTTAAAGGAACTTCAAGAATCACTTAAACACTATTCCATGTAGGTAGTTAATTTCTTTTCTTTTTTTTTCAAATTAATTATCGTTATATATATAAAAAAAAGCTTTCGGCCTGATACCTCCTCCACAAAATTAAATTCTGGATCCGCTAGTGCTAAATAACAAACATGAGAACGTGACTTGCTTGAACGTGAAAGAAGTCAACTTAAAATAGATCTGAAGCAGATAAAATGAGATTCAAAGCATGAATTAATTTTAATATTTTAATTTATTTGTTTTTAAAAGATTTCTCTAAGGGTTTTATTTTAAAATATTTTTTGGCTGAAATATCTTCTTGATTATACTCCGATTCAACGAAAAGTTAAATGATTAATTAATAAATTTGTCACGAGAGATTTACTTTTCTCTTCCCTATTGTCCTGGATCAAACCTGCGATTGTTTTATGCATCAACGCAACTCCGAAGGTCTAACTGCCTTTAATGATACATCATTGCAATGCTAATTCCCCATACGTTATGAATATTCATTGATGTATGGTTTATTATCCTTGCATCTATAGGTGTAATTTCGTTAGTTATAAATATCCTTACTTTAAAATAGATCTAACACCGCATTATTTTTTGGTTGTGTTTTCCATTCGTATATTCTAACGTGACGTGATCTTTTTCAGGAAGACATGCAGCAGCTGCAAATGCCCGCGGGAGTCGCACGACGTCTACCACGAGGAGTGGGTGAATGTGAGGGAGCGACTGGGCCTGGGCAGCCAGGGGGACCAGGAGAGGAGGGGTGCTGGGAGGGGCTACGCCTGGGTGCCCCCAGGCCTCAACCAATACAAGGTTTGTGTCATAGTACTTTTAATCGTTCAAAAATTGAAATATTAAATACTTATATTTAAACTTCAGGCCGAATGTTCTAACTATCGTCCTATATGTCTCTGACCAGTGGTCTAAAAGCTTATATGACTGTCCTGGAAGGAAGATTAAGGCTCTTAGTTGAACACCTTAACGGGAAAGAGCAAGCTGGGTTTAGACTTGGACGGCAAACTCGGGATCATATATTCTCCCAAACAAATGTTCTACAGAAATCTTGGGCCGGGATAAAAACATGTACTTAGCTTTCCCAGGCATGAAATATGGGAGGCTGTTAGAGCTGAAAACTTGCCAAGGAACTTGGTGGAGGCTGTAAACTCAATTTATCAACACCAAAAAGGAGTTGTTAGGTTTGATGGGTCAGGTTTTGGTTGCTTTGACATGGCAAGGGGTGTCAAACAAGAAGATAGTCTGTTCATTACTGTTTCTAATTTATATGGATGAGGTGGTGGCCATCGGTAAAAGAAGAACAGAAAAGACGTTCCTAGGGAGAAGAAACCTACGTCTGGTGGGGATGCAGCTTCTGTTATATGCTGATGATGTTGTCCTCGTTGCTGATTCAGCTGAAAAGTTGCAGCAGCCGGTGGCTGAATGGTATGATGAACTCTACCGGAAAGGAATACAGATCTAGTAAAAGTAAGGTACAACAAGTAGTAAGGCAAAATGAAGATACGCATGTACACTGCAATGGAGAGTAAGAGTCACTGCTGCTGAAATGAAATTTCTGCAAAGAACAGTTGGTAAGACTAGGAAGGACCTAGTTCGTGAAGAAAGTATATGCTAGGAGCTGGAGGTCACCTCATTGAAGGAGGTTCTGTTAATCCGCCAATTAAATGGTTTGGCCATGTGTTTAGGATGGAGGAAAATAGGGACCCATTGAAGATGATAAATAAACTATTCTCCGGATGGTAAAAGACCTCGAGGTCGCTCAAGAATGTCATATCTGGAGTACATTGATAGACTCCAATTGCAAAGGATGAGGCAAAGATATCCGTCAAGCCATGTATCAGGCAAATAACAGAGAAGAGTGGAGTTCTTAGCTGTTCACCCCCTTGCGCTGAGAGGCACAAAAGGGAGAAGCTAAAGATGAAGAAGATTTAAACTTTATTAAAAATTAGATTTTATATCTTATTGTGGTTATTATTGTAAACATAGTCAACTACTAATTTTCTTCTGGAGATACTGTTAAGACTAACCAAAGAATAGATGGAAGTTGGAGGTGTAATGAGAAATCAACACAGTGCATTAATGAAAATTTTGCATTAATATGGATCAACGTTTCAGACTAACATGTTGGCTTCATCGGGAGTAGTTAAAACAAGATTTAAGCATAATAGGAAAAAAGAATAAATACACTACTAATCACATGGAGAAATATGAAACAATACAATGTACATGGAAAAATAATTTGGTATATGGTATAAACATTAATGAAAAATGCTCTAATTTTTTTTATAATTTTTCTAAACATATAACCAGAATCTCTTCTATCTTGAGAAACCCTGGTTAAATCTGATAATTGTAGAAGGAAAGTGTTTTGCTCCTTGAGAATTACCACTTTTATCGAATCTTCTGTGTTGCTATATGGCCTATAGGTGGTAGTCTAAGACACAAAAGACCTGGTTGGGAAAGAGAAATAGAATATCTTATGAAATTCAAAGAAAGAATGAACATAAGCTGTATGATACTTTTCATTGTCCGCATGTTGTTCCTCATTAACTAAAATTTTTCAAACTTGTAATGAAAATTGTAAGAAGCCGAGTTGTTTCTTCTGGAAATATGTATGTGATTTTGATCTCGAAGTTGTTCAAATTTTTTCTATGGTTAAAGAGCAAACATTGGTTTTACTAAATTTCTTCCTTAGTCATAATTTGTCAAAATCTAACTGTGGGTAGCTTTTACATCAGAAATTGGTATGCAGATATGTGCCAGAATTCATTAGTATTTTTTTTATTTAATTCCACAACCTTGCAATGTGATAATTTGTAAAACATAATAATAATTTCAAACAAATTATGGTTACTTAAAAAGTAATTCAAACATAATTTTTTTTTTAAACACATAATTTTGATTTATTTTGGTCTAGATTTATATTGAACAAAAATTTCGTTTTAAATATAAATTTTTTTTCTACTTTTATTTCAATGAAAATGGTGAATAAAAAAAAGAAACATGGATTTTCATCGAAGACAACTTAAAGAAAAACTTTATCAAAAATGTTTTTTGGGAGTTCTTCACTTTAGAACCCTTTGTATAGTACCAGTTTTTAATTCTCAGTGCTTTAATGAGTTTTAAAAAGTGTTGCGAATTCTTCAAGCCAACCCATTAATTTCACTCCAGATTTTTACAAAAAAGAAAAAAGGTGGATAAAAAATTCAAGTATAAAAATTGTGTTAACGAACAATTTGTTCTTACATTTAAATCTAGAAAACATGAGGTGTAAATTTCATACTTGTCTGCCTTCTAAATGTTGATGAAAACGCAGTTTACCACAAAAAGTACAAAAACTGGAACAAAGGTGACCCCTTTGACTATCTGAGAATGAAAAATGACTAAGGAATAAATGTTACATTGTATTTATTATGGGTTAATACTTCTTTTTCAAACCTATTTTTGGAAATATTCTGTACAAATGTAAGTAAATAAGAGGTAATACACTCTGGAAAAGTCCTTTACTTGTCTTGAAGAAGTTTTGATAAGTGTTTTAACATGTCCTGTCATACATCTTTCTTATTATTCTTAAGAATGAATTAATGCATTTTATCTGGAAGGCTTGTAGTAAAATGTTTTTCAAATTGCTGTCATATACTTTCTTGAAGTCTGCTAAGATTATTTCAGTGGAAATAATGAATCTCAGGAAATGGTTAGATATTTTTATAAGCTTTTCAGCTCTTATTTATTGTTTTAATAACAATTTCAAAATTTTAAAATAATGTTGTTGAGGGATAGTGAAATATTTGGTATAAAAGTCTATAAAACTCTTTTCATCCATTACTTTGTAATTTTCTCCATTTTTTTTATTTGACTCAACTTGCTGTCTAGTCCTTTATTTCATTTCAACTATGAGGATGTACATTTTTCAATGATAAGGATTGTTCAAAGAAACAGTAATATACATTATGTAATGTTAATAAACATCAACATATGGGATTTTAAAATTAAATTAATTATCTAAATATAACAGTGGACCACTTCCAAAAAAATAAAATATTTGAAAAATAAAAATATTCACTGTATTAACAGTTATTTTATAATATTCTGATTAATAAAATATAATATTCTGAAACTTTGTAACTTTTATTAATGGGTATTCCTTTATTATCTATAGCAGCATTCTATTACGCCTTTATAAAAAATAAAAAATTCTTTCCTATTGCATTTGATAATTTTTAGTTTTAGCTTTACACTATATGATTCCTCTTGACGTTACCATATTATATGTTCTCTTTGAACACCTTATATTTTCCTATTAATGCCCAACTAATTAACAATTAATTTAACCTTCATTACATTTATTTGTTATATCAGGTGGAGCAGTATTTCAGGTGCCTTCCGTCTGATAAAGTACCTCGTCTAGGAACTCCAGGTGAGAAATATAGAGAAAAACAATTAATGATGCAATTGCCGAAGCAAGATCTTGCTCTTGCATATTGCCGACATGTGGAAACTGGACAAGCTTCAAGTTTTGAAGACTTCATTACTGCTAGGAATGAAATAGCTTTGGACATAGCTTATGCTAAGGAATGTATGAATAGAGTGGTAAGTAAACAAAATAGTGAACTAATATTAGTTAGGTATTACTACTATTATTTAATACTTTGTTTGCCTTGCTACTAATTATAATGAAATTGAGAAACGCTTTTAGAGTTAAGTATGTGTTTTTGTTTATAGGTGGAGGATGTGGGGTTTAAATAAACTTCAGATAGGTTTTTGAGATCTTTGAAAATAATTTTATTTTTGATATAACCAGAAATTATATTAACAATTTTACAAAGGATTTTTTATTAAATAAATTCTATTGTTTTTGGAGCACCATACCTATTGCATTCTATAAGGCTTAACTATCATGTTTGTTGTCACATTGCAGACTAGAAGGCAGAGAGTATTGCTAAAAGTTTAATAAATTTTTAGTATTCAAAATCAATGTGCTGTTTTTTATTATTTAAATCTTGTTAGATGGTCTTACAAATCCTGACTAAATTATTTTTAACAACAAACCATGGAGGATTAAATGAAACACAAAGAAGGATACAGTTTTTAAAATGAGTATTTAGATTGAAGATGACTTATAACAATGATTTGTTGAAATTAATTTTAATTCTTTGCTCCAAGCCTTATTGTTCTAAAGTTTTGTTCAAAGAACAGCTCAGGTTGCTATAGTACAGGTATAATGACAACTGTATTAAATATAGGATTAAACAATAGAAAATAACAACAGGATTTAAAAAACTACATTAAATCAATGGAGAATAAGACAGAATGAGGAAGATAATGGGGGAGTGAAACTGATCAGAGAAAATCTTATGCCATAGGAAATACACACACAATTTTTTTTAATTGATATTTAAGTCATTGAACGCATAAACACACTGTTGGTTGCATTAATGAGATGATTGAAATAATCTAAAATCAGTGATTTGAATTTTACTCATGATATGCATACAAGTAAAATCAATCTATATAATAATATCAATAGTAATGGAGGTTTAAAAATTTTAAAACGTAAATATATATACCTTTTTCTCAAACAGTCATATGCACTGTTTTATTAAAACAGAGAATTTGAAGTTTTCTTGCTTAGATAAGTTTTACAATGTTTCAAAAAATTTATTTAATAGGTAATGAAAGTTTTTTTGCATACTTGGTAAAATTTTAAAAATTACGTAAATAGTATCAAATTTAGTAAATTACTCAAACACAAGGTTACTGTACATTTATTAGATGAGTTGTTTCTCTTAGAAAGCTCATTTCACAACTGATGTGTCATTTACAGAACAAGATTCTATTATTTTTATTTTTTTTTATCACAACCCAATAAGTTTGATAATAAGGACAGAACAAAGTATTCTTTATTATTCCTGAAAAAAGTATTAAAAATGTATGACAATGAAACATGATACCATAATTATTTAATGGAAATTATTAAAATAATGCGTGATTATGAAACATAAATATAAAGTATGTATAACATAATAATAAAAAATAAACCGTTATAACATTATTATAAAATATGCCTTATTTATACTTTAGTAAAATACTAATTGAAAATTTGGAAAAACTCGCATGAACCAGAGATCGATAATCTACAGTTGCACAGGAAAACTATTTTTTTTTTTTAATTTACAATTGGAATTAGATGATAGATTATAAAATAGAGTAAAATCCAAATTTCATCTTCTGGTACCAACAAAATTATAACTCAGAACAGATAGTTTTGTAAACATCTCAATTGAAACAGTGGTAAATTTGAATTGATGGTCAGTTTTTCTTCTCCCTTTTCTCAATATGTTTTTGGAGTCAATTTGCAATCCGAAAATACATTAATTAAAGAAAAAAGCAACAAGTATTTATAATTTAAAACCATTTCAAGTATGTTGTTCATATAACAACCATTTATCAGCTTCACCACAAATATGGTAACACCACAACAATCCTTGAATGAACAACTATATTCCAGCTATAGTTTTCCACTTTTTTCTTTGTTCCTATTTGTTCAGTAGTGATTATTATTTTTCTTCTTTTGCTTCACCCTACAGTGCCAATCAGCTTAGCTTATAGCTTATAGCTTATCTTCAGAACTACCACTATTATCTGTTTTTAACCAGATTCCTGGCTTAGTAGAGACTTTTTCTCCTTCTTTTGCACCAACAATCAACATATTCCAGGTAGGACATTCTTGATTTGCCTCAAGGTTTACTACTTTCTGAGGCATAGCACATAGTCTTTAGTGAACTTGATGTTTCTCCGTCTGACACAAGGGCCAAACCAATGCAGCAGGCAAGCCTCTAGAAACGCCTTCATCTATAAGATTCCTAGGTCCTCCTTGATACTCTCAGTCCTGATTTAGTCATTTCATGTTCTACTAAAAACCCTTTGGAGAAACTTCCTTTCTACTGCTGTCACTCTGTGAAGTCAATTTAATTTGTATCATTGAATATCGTTATTTAAATTTAAAAATTACATTATTTATTTTTAAATGCTTTGACAAAAGAAACTCAATTTTTTTTAGTTCACCATTATAATTAAAATACATTTAATAATATTCTTATGAGCTGAATAGTCATTTTAGAAAGGCTTAAAAATACATTGGTTTTGCTTTATATGTATTATTTTAAAAGATTTTTCATCTAAATTTTTGATGATTGGCTTCTGAAAAGAAAACTTATTTTATTATGAAGATTATATAATTACTAATTTTTGTTTAAAGCAAAACATTAATTAATTAGTGGAAGATCCCAATAGGATTCGACAGGCAACATGAAACTAAAACTAAGGAAAACTGATCCTTATAATTAATTAACAATATTCCTTTGTATCATAGATAATCAATAGTCCCCTTATAATCCTTGCCATATATTGTTGTTTTATAAAAACAGGTATTCATTTCTTACCAATATGGTAGGTAAAGTACCACCATATGGAATCAAAACTAGAAAATACTATTGGTAGTTTGGAATACAGAAAATGTAAAACTACTTACACAATAGTTCCCATACATACTCCTTAGGCGATAAAAATACATACTCCATATGAAGATACATACTCCCAGATGAAGATACATACTCCTTATATGTCTACTTATATAATTCTTTCGCTTAAATGGTTTTAGAGCTCTCATTAACTAGATATTTTTAATTACTTTATCTCAATTCCCTTATACTTTTTACTCATACTGCTTGGTGATTTTCTTAAAGACTCATTCTTTTCATTGATCATATTTACTTTTTCCAAGTTAATTCTTATTTACTTGTTTAACCTACATGCTTTAATTGTTACTATTTTTGATCTTAATGCTTTCATTTACAATGAATTATTTGATTTCCAAATAGAAGTAATCATTCCTAAATGAACTGAAGCATTACAGTGTAAGTTCATGTGACTCGTAAAACAATTAGACCAGTTATCAGTTTCATGTAGGGAAATCTGATACAGTAATTTTATCTCACATCGAAAATTTCTCGCATCAATGGTAATTAAATTAAAACCCAAGATCCTGAAGGTTGAAATAAATTAAGGTTGATCTTTTTCATCCAATTATCCTCTGTGTTTTGAATAAATTATCTAGTAGCTTTCTCTTTGTAATAATGAGAGATAAATTCTTAAACTTACACTGGAGTATAGTTTCATGTATGTTATAAATTCAATCAGAAACGTCTTTCTATCATAATTACCCTAAAAATAAGTTTTATTGTGATAAAATTCGAAGATTGCACTGCAAGAGATAATTAATTTCTCCCTCCCCAATTTAAAATAAATTACCAACACATCACTTTGTAATTTCTGAGAAATTAATTTAATTTGTACGTTTCAGGATCTGAACTCTTTTGATAAGTATAATTTCATGTCCAGATATATAAATATTATTCAGTAATATAATTCTTTAAATTGTAAAATATACAATTACAGATCCCAACAATTATTTCAGAAACCAGGGTATGGTGTAAGCACCAAGTTTTAAGCTAATTAAGGAGTAGCTCATTTTAGAAACACCTTTGCTATATAAATATTAATATGGCATATATCATAAGCCATTTTAGTATATATAAAATGTGGCAGCTATAAAATATTCAAAAATTAACTATTGCAAAAATGTCTTGAATGTTAGTTTCCTTTACTTAAGATATATTCCTAATAACGCTAAAGTTGGCATAAATTTTGATGCACCTTAAACTCTAGTTGCTTATTGCCCTAAGCAGATATATAATATATGTATTCTCAAATTTGAGAATGGACAAATTACTGACTTTCTTCTAATTTAAATTAAGAGTTAGACCAACTATAGTTATAAATCTTAATTCATACTCTTAACTTTCATGCTTTTTATTTATATATGTATGTATTTATTTTTATTTGCTGTAATATAATTTACAACATTTATGATTATAATTTTAAAAATCCTCAATCTTTAATGTTTCTCTTCTGACCTCTTAAACAACCACTTTTGCTAAGGAGTTTTAAGTAAATAAAGTATTTAAAATCTTGGAAAAATAAAAAAATAATAATAATATAAAAAAAATTAAATAAATATATTTTTATAATTTTATTAGGAATCATTACATATAATTCAATTTCTAATAGTTATTTGATAAACTTTATGTGATACACCAGAAATTTTGGTTTCAGTGATATAGTCTCAATTAAGGTTAAATTAATCAGTTTTAGTTTCACCCTTTGAACATTCTAAATATAAAAAAAAAAAATAATATTGAAAACTAAAGTTTGGAACTAGTTATTTACTGTCCTCACTTGAGCCACCCAGAGTGGGCCATTTTCATGGATAACTCCTGTTTGGCAGAGAGCCGCTAGATTATCTGATAGGCAGTAAAAAATAAATATAGTTCGTGGTTTTGTCGTATCTTTGCCAACTACTGAAAGAAAGGGATTTCGAAAAGTCTCGAAATAAAAACGACAGGATGAAATAGCCTAATAAAAAAAAAATGCATTGAGAAACACATTAAATTATCGGCTATTTATAATTAAAATAAGAAAAGAGATTGTTAGGCCAGATTTATGCTTCAGTTCACGCATCCTTCTCAGTGTTATCTTGTAGAGGATACTGGTACCGGTGAGGGGACTATTCTGGCAATTGAGCCCTGAGGTTCTTTTTGCTAACCCCTAACGGCTACCTTTGGTGGCCATAGCTTACTTACCAGCGTGGGAGGATCAAGATCCATTTCCCTTGGACGCCGAGAAATGAAAATAAACCGACCAGGTGGGAATCGAACCCACAACGTTCAGAACGAGGCATTCTGAAACTAAGTCCCAACGTCCTCGTCCATCACGTCTTCTGCTGAGAAGGATATATATAAGGTAACTTGCAACGTGCAACCGACAATAAATTAAGTACATTCTAAAGAATTATTATCTATATTATTACTATTTTCGACCCGCAGAAAACCTATCAACGAAAAAAAAAACACTTGAATGCCACTTTAAACGGTCAAGTTTCTCTACCAAAACTTGTTCTTGAATATTTTAAAACTTGTTCATGGATCCATTCTTAAATTTTTCTATAAAAAATATAACGAAAAAACAGTCACACTGACCATAATGAAATAAAAACATGGCGGGATACACTGCATGTTTTGAAGAATAGTATATTTCCTGAACGCAACGAGCCTTGCTAGAGTTTGTTCAAAAAATTCAAACATGGATCAATTCAGTCCCACAACCTAACGAAATGCTTTTTATACAGGTTACTACTCCACTTCTTTTAGTTGTAACTTATAAATACTCGTATATATTGTCTAGCTTCTATATCAATTTCAACTTCTTCCTCAGATATGAAGTTCATCAAATTTAATTAGTTGAGTCAACTTACTTTCACTTTTTTTTCAGACGTGTCCACATTGTGAGAAAATGGTGCTGCCAGGGGACGTTGGTATCCTGGCACCCAAGTTCGGAGATAAGGCTATGTGGCACCCAGCCTGCTTCGTCTGCTCGGCCTGCCAGAACCTCCTCGTCGACCTCACTTACTGCTTCTACGATGATGTCCTCTATTGCGAGCGTCACTACGCCGAGCAGTTGAAGCCAAGGTGTTCTGCCTGTGACGAGGTTAGTAACTGCTTCATTTATCTTATTATAACTGGTTTAAGTATTCGGAATAACATCGAATTAACACGTTAGCTCCTGTTACGGTCGCCAGTTTCCGATATTCGTCTCGACTTCGGCCAGGATTATTTCGAAATTTGTCTATCTTACGAAGTCTTTAAAATGGTCATTTTAAAAATATTTCACTGGTAGTTGGATAGATGTAAAGAAAGATACAAACTTAAATAATCATTACATCTGATAAAAAAAAAAACCATAGGACGCCGGGGACCGTAACCACAGCTAACTTGTTGAAAAAAATTATGATTAAATGTATTTATTTTTTCAAAAATAAAACCCCAATTCAAAAGTTAAACGATGTATTGAATTTTTTCTCTTATTTTTTAAATACTAAGTTGTATACGTCAATGGTATTTTTAGTTTTATATAAAAAAATACTTTATTATCCTACAATAATTATACCTTAAAACAAAGCCATTACCGTTTTAAACCCACTTCTCATACTTAAAATTCGTTACCCCTTTGCGATTTTATAAAAACGAGGAAAATAACTTTCAAAACTTTCTAAAAAAAAATTAAAACTTGCTATCTTATTAAACCTTAATTCTGGGAGAGGAACTCCCTCAGGGGTCCCAAAGGCTGTTTTTATATAATTTTAAATAATATTAGGGGATAGCTCAGTGAGTAAGGCACTGTATTGTGCTGCTATGCTCTAGATCCAGTCTTCCGGTCCTCTGCTGATTATCTGTTCCGTTAAAATCAGCCAAGTACCGACTCTTTGGTCGATAGACCTTTCCGAGGCACACTCAGCCTCTATAAAAGGTATACTTTTATTTGAATTCTTAATTAAGAAGAAAAAACTGAGGATTTGTGCGCAGTCTTCTTGAATATCCTCCTTACACAAACGTTGACCAAGAAGCACTACTTTCTCACCAAGTACTGAATCAAACACCCTCCAAGGGATGTATTGGTAGAGATTTTTTTTATGCTTTTATTTACACTATTTTTATATAAACATGTTCTTTATCTTTATCTGAAATATCGTTACTTTTTTTCTGTAAAGTATATAGTATGGTTGTATACATACTTATCTCAGTTCTTTTAAAGGTTACAAACTTTTGTACTAAACAAGCCTATATAAAATAGACATTTAAAAAAAATTGTTTTCCATTTATAAAAAATATATGTTTATCCTTAGTAGGAATGAGTTTTCTCTTCCACTTTATTAATTTTCCACTGCATTTGTGTCTGCAATTTCGTAAATTTTACAAAAATCGTCAAGATCTTATGTCCATATATATTCTTTAAATTAATTTAAAGTTGAGAGCCAGTCCTTGAGAATCATGAAATGTTTAATAAATATGGTTGTCATTGCTTACAAAATACTTATTGGAATTGAAAGGAAAAACTCACAAACACAATCCTCGTCCTATTATGTTTGGTAGTTTCTTCCTTCCCACACATAGATATAACTTTGTATGCTGCGTTTAAAAATGATTTCGTTCAATATATTATTCTTATTTTAAAAAATCGATTAATATGTTACTAAGGTTGTATGTAGTATTGAGGTAATTAGATCAAAATAAATTTAAAAGTCAATATTTTTGAAATGACCAATACCGACTTAAATATTGACCAACGAAGTATATCGTATCTTTTTATAATTAAAATATATGATCAAATACATCTATTCTTCCACAGAAATAAGAATTGTTTGTATTCAGTTAAGACAAATGTGTTGGTTTTATAAGACAGCCAAGATAAATGAAGCATTTCTGTGTTGGTACTTGAATCTAAATATTTATAGCTGGTCTGCCAAACTCGTTAAATTTCGCTGTTTGGTTAGAGTACATTGACGTTTAGTTTGAGAATGGAGAAAACCGTTTATTTGTTACTTTAGTATTTTGTAAATGCAGTACTTAACGTAATGTTTAAGACTTATATCCTCGGACTAAGGCCCCGCTATAAACTGTCATGTATCAGAACTAGCTCATGCGCGATTTGTGGGAAGTAATTATCGTAACTCGCAAAGATCATTCTGTTCGGATATTTACTGTTCGTTTTATTTATACATCTCTGTTGTATGTGATTATTTTATCATGAAGCATCATCCATTTTCTGGAGAGTTTGTTAGGTTCTAATACTCTTTTTCTGCATAATGAATTATTAAGCATTAGTACTTAGAACACGAACACGTTTGTATTGCCACTTGGCAAAAGAATTCGTTATAAGTGATTAAATTCCGAAGGTGGTCTAAAGGGGTACAGCATATCTATATTTTTATAGCGAAACAGAATGAACGAACAGAATGACAGGATTTACTGAACTGGCTTTTTGTAATGTAATGTTAAATCCATGTGTTTTATCATTTATAGTTTGAGTTAGCAATCTCCCAAGGTATACTATATTTTTTTTAAGGAACTTGCCTGTTTTTTTTTCAATGAAAATTCTAGAAAGTATTTTATAGCTCGAAAACTATAAAAGCTGTTTTTTAAAAAGTTATCAACAAATCTTTCCGTAGAAAATGTTTTTTTTTTTTACTTTTTCTACGTTACTACTGAATACTTGTTATAATTTCGGACATAGCTAATCTATGACAAATATTTTAATTAAGCATTTGATAATTTTTTTTTAAATATAATATATTTTAAATTAAAATTTAATTAGATATAAAACTTGTAAAATTAATAAGTAACACTATTGACTGATTAACTATTCGTCATACATTTTTAAGCATACAATAAGAAATATTATTATATTGGTAAGCTGGTAGAAAATACACAATGAGCATTTATTGTTTGCCTAATGTTGGAAATGGTTTTTCACGAACGGATTGCCAATGGTCAGAATTGGCCGCACGAACAATTGTTTACCAACAGCTAGCCCATTAAAGTGCCCCAAAGTACTTTTAATGGCTATGGGCCAACACAATTTTTTCAATTTATCTAGCCATCTGCCAACCACAATTATTAACTCGCCGGCTTTACGATAGTTATATTGTGTGCACATTAAATAATATATTTTTTATTGTGCAAGTATCTCTTCAATGATATGTGAAATCAAATGAACAGCACATATTACATTTAACATCATTATATTGTTAGATACATAATAAACAAATAATTACTTATTTATTACCTCGTATAAACATAATATAAAATAGAAAAACTATGAACTTGTGATAACCAAAAAACAAATAGAAACTAGATTAATTTATAATTATAAAACACGTATTATACCTCACTAGTTATTAAAGTTGATACACTCTTTAATTGCAATATTATTTTAAGAGTGCGGTCCACCGAAACCTTTTTTTATTTCATTCAATTATCTGTTCCTGAAAGGATGTAGACTTATGGATTGACTCGATTCCGTAAATGCCAAATACATATATTCACGTCATATATACCTTATACATCGTCTTGCCTTGGTTTACATAAATCTTAGAATAGAGCAGATATATTTTTTCTACGAAGCAATAAACCGCAACACAAACAAAATCAGTCGAGAGGGTCCTAGATTATTTGCTTCGAACGCTTACTAGCCGTTACTATTTACGTTCGCGGAGCGGGAATTATTGGTGGGAACGGAGGGGTGTTTGCAATAAATATGAAAAGAGTTGGGAGTGGGGCTGGAAATCGAGGAAACGGCGTGTTTGAGCTCCGGGTCCAGAAATAGTGGGTAGCTTTCCGACGGACACCTTACTCAGCCAGACCGACCGGCGAGGATGACTTCACCAGAGGTGAGCACTCCACTTCTCAGATCTGGGACCACTCCATTCGACATGGAGTCATCATTCCAAACAGTTAACTGCTTTATGTCTTGGAGCTCGCAAAATAATTTACCTGTTTTGTTCTCACTAATTATGTTCTACTAAGCTATAAAACAAGAGATAACTTTGCTAACAACACAAGTAATCAACTAAGATATGCTTTGAAAAGTTCTTACATCTTTTGCTCACTAACTATACTGATAATGTTTGATCTTAATTATATAAATTTATTAAATATTTTTGCTATTTACAAACGTAAAAAGTAGATATAAAAAACTTGAAAACATTTTTTTTTACTAACATGGCTAATAGCAGTTTCCATATAATGTTGTTAATGCTCGAGATAAAATGCAGACATCAAAATTGGAATAACGAAAATATCTAATAATGTTTCATTAACAATTTGTAACATTTCAGTGTTATGTCACATGTAAAAAAATACTGATTTTACATTCAGTCTGTCCGAACAAATTTCATTATTACTAAACCCAATAAACTGATCATCCTATAACAAGTGTACTAACTAAGCAATATTAGTAGTATAAATACATGAATACATAAAGATGTTTTCCTTCCTCCTTCTTATGCTATTTCAATTTCCAACTAATCTTATATATCAAATTATTTAGAAGTTCTAATTATAGCCACTAATCATAACAGAAACCGTCAAAATCAAAATACCTAAAAATTCATAAACATTCTAAAATATTTAATTAAGAGCAATAGAAAAATAATTCACATTATATAATCAACAACATATATTTATCATTTCTCAAGTGATGATAAACCTGTATTTTTTTTCTTTCAATTCATTATTATCCCTCTTTGAAGAATAATGGCAGCCATTTTTAATGGCTGAAAAAATACATGTAGTTTTCAACTGTTGAACAATATCATCGTATAATTGAGTTCTGAACAATCGGACATTGATTCATCGCAGTCTGCTGTCATGACCCAGTAAAAAAAAAATACATATTTACATGTCCCATGCCTTCTGACAATTTACACACATAAATAAGCCATAAAAAAATAATCTTAATTAATAAAATTTGTCATTCACAATTAGAAACTAAACAATATAGATTGCATTGACATACAACGTAAGTCATGGATTTAAATATAACTAAGAAAAATAAAACTATATAAAAAGTTAATATAATAAAACTGATTTAATTACAAACCTAAATTTATACTTATTATATTGATGTATAGTAATAAGGCAGAGTTAAATCTAATGTAAACTTAAAAATTCATATCAAACTGTCGACATATTTTATTGATAATCAATTAATAATTTTATTATTAATGAAATGCTCGTGCATGAATAACTAAATTTTAAAAAATGGTATGCTCATGTCCATGTTATTTTTTTTTTTTTCAAACAATTGACTAATTTAAAATTATGTACATGTATGTTTATATCAGCGTTATGTTTTCTCATTATTTTTGTTCAGTGATGAGAACTTTTAGCTTTGAAATGTTAGTTCAAGATGATAAAAATAAGAATTAGGGACAAAACATGCTATTTCATTAATTAATTTCTCTAATTATATTGCAATTTAATACAAATCGTTAATTTACTTCCAAGAAAAATATTATAGTTTTCAAATTATTGGAGTAAGATTCTGTATTTATTTTCTTTTATCTGTATAACATAATAAGACATGAGTAAAATTATTAGTTTGATATAATAAATTACAAGCAAATGTCAATAAGGGTATAATTACTGGAACCACTAGTTAAAAATATATAAATAAATATTATATTGTTCCAAGTGGTTCCTTATACCAAAATAGAAATGTACTCAGACTTTCAAAAACGATAAATAATAAACAAATAAAAAAAAAACTATCATATGAGATCTGTTTGCATGTAATTTAGGTGCTTAATATAGACTGAATTTATCTGTACTTATGTCATAATCTTTCTACATATCCACTTATGATTTTTTTAAAAATCCATTACCACTAGTCAGTGGAAAAACAACTGTGCAAATAAAGTAAAAAATGTTTTGCATCATCAGAAAAACTTATGTTTTAACTATTAATCAACATATTCTTATTTTTCATAATGTTTCATAATGTTCCACTACTTTCAAGCAACATTCAGGCATTGTGCCAATCCCAAATGTGGAAAAAAAAATAAAATTAACTTTTTTCACTTACAATATATTTGATTGCTGATCTCCACCTCTTTATTTGTTTTGAAATTATTCCTTTTAGCAAAATGATTTAATAACTGAAAAATGTGGTAATCTGATGGGGCTAAAGCTGGTGAATAAATATGGTGAAGGACGGGAGGAGTTCTCAGCCAAGATTTTAAGATTTTTTGTTTGGTCATTGGCCCTTAGGGTCTGGCACTGGCAGTGTCATAGTCAAAAAGACTTGACTGTTAACCTCAGGCAGGATCACTACAGGAGGATCACACAGTTTATTTAATTGACAAAAGTAGACTAATCCAGTGATCGTTTCATTAGTTTTTAACAGTTCACAGTGATTGCTTAAGTAGTTTCCTACTCAACCAGATAGAAAGCAAAACGTTTCAGCTAAAATTCCTGATGGTAAATATTTCAAACATCCTGCTGCAAGTATGCTGTTCTACTTTACCAGAATATACTACTCAGATGTGTCAGATTGTAATGTTACCATCATTAAATTCAAATAGCATACAATGCCTCTAATTTTCCTTTGCATCTTTCCAGTTGATTTTCGAATTACTGTTTAAGATAATTTTGTTCTTTAAGCAGGATTTAATACTCAGCACTGAAGCCGTCTGATCCGTACTACTTGACAATAAATACAGAGCGGTATTAATTATTTTATTTGGCCAATTTATGAATTAATTGGTCTGAAGATTTTTACAACTAAATATTATTTAAAAATGATTTATTTTCATGTGTCCACAAGCAAACGGTTAATAACAAAAATTTGAAAACATGTAAGCTCTATATCATAACCAAAAGTACTCATAGCATTCATACTTAAGCCAAGCTTCTCCTGCAAGTATGCAGAGCAATGCAAGACTCCATGAGGTTCTTGGGTCACCAATGTTAAAAACTAGTGGGGTTAATTTAAAGTTAATGTTGTATTTATATTTATAGAGTTCGGTTAATGAAAAATATGGTAAAATAAAAAAAAATATTTCATTAGCTTTCATTTGAAACAAACCTTTTTAGCTATCTTTCATCCTGTATGGTTACTTTAATACTATTTTAGTCCTACTTCTACCATAGCCCTTATGATGAGCCATGCGATGTATCTAAAATGTTGGTTTTTTAATAATAAAAAAGAATTATTAATTTTGTTTTATCTTATGATAAATTTACTTTGACCGATCCCTGACCATATATTAGTATTCATTTATTTTATTCACTTTTTCTATTAAATCAGTCTTTTCCTGATATTTTCAATACTGTTATTAGGTGTCTATAAATGCAGATTATGTTCTTATTTGTGGTTATTCAGAATATAATCATTATATAGAGACATAATCAAATAGTTAGCAATCTGTATGAAACATTAAAGTTTGAGGATTTGTTTCTTTTTCATTAAAATCCTCAGTTTTGCAATTGGTTGGAAATATTTTTTGGAGTTGACCCAAATAGTGGTTGAACTATCTTCATCCGAATTTTTATGAAACTGAAAATTCAACTTCTCCTAATAACTTTCGAGTATTATTAAATAAATTCTGTCACTTTATCAATGAAAATTGACTATTCCATTAAATCTCCTATTTTGTTTACAACCTGAATTTCAGCTTAATGAGGAATTGAATTAACCTATATTCTCATGAATGACCATATCATGAATGAATCATGCTTTTTGGGTCCATCTAACCAAACACGGTTTGATTGTTATCAAGTGGTTACTTACGTTTTAGTCAAAGTGAGAGTGTCATTTACTTGACATTACATTATTATTTATCATTATATACAATACATTTTATTTTATTTATTTACTTACTATGATCCCACTAAGGAAGTGAAGATCATTACCCAACTACATTAACTAATAAATTAAATTTGGTACATATTAATATATAATAATAGATCAGACATTAATACTATAAATTATTATCTCTTTTTCAATCAAATCTGTCTATGTTGTTGTCAAGGTAGAAAACTAAAACGTTCTTTTTATAAATAGACATATTTTTAGAAAATATTTAATTTGCCTAACACACAACTACTATAATTGTTAAAATAAAAATTTCAGCAAAATATAATAAATTGTAATTATTTCATGGATAAGATTATTTTTCTAATCTAACTTTTTTTCTAGTAAAATTGATGATATGCTTACAATTGGAAAGCCTGATGGTAATCTTTCCAAGTGAATATAGTGAATTTGTAAGTAATAGTGGCATGAAAATAAAATGAGGAAGTAACTATTAAATTATTTAGAAACTTGCTTGGTATCAATACAAACTAAGGCAATCTCAGTTACAAAAATACATTTTAGAGAAATGCCTACGAAGAACAGTGGAATTCTCTCTGAGTGAAGGACAATATGGATTTAGGCCAAATAGAAGTACCCAGAATCTCATATTTACTCTAAGACAAATTTCTGAAAAATTAATAGAAAGGGATAAAGAGATATATGCCTGTTTTGTAGACCTCCCTAAGGCATTTGACCGAGTGAAGAAGCAAGACATAGCAGAAGCCTTAGAAGACAAAGACATTGAAATGGGCCTCTGTAAGGCAATTCTGAGTCTCTATAAGACCCAAACAAATGTTGTGAGAACATGCGATAATATATCGGAATAGTTCACAACTAGTCAAGGTATTAGGCAAGGGTGCAGTCTAAGTCTTCTGCTATTTACACTAGTGCTAGACAATGCAATAAAAATAGCAAATAAAAATATGAGATCATATCAAATGGGATACAGAAATCTACAGCCTGTATTTTTCTCTCTGTTCGCTTATGCAGACGATTTGGTGGTTTTCGGAAGCAATGGAGGAAACCTGCAATTCAACCTCCGCATTCTTCAGGAAGAATCGAATAAGATAAATATGCAAATAAATGTGGAAAAAACCAAAACTATGAGGATTGGCAGAAAACAAGGAAGAGAAGACAGAATAGTGCATTTCAGTGGAGTTCCATTGGAACAAGTGAACAATTTTAAATACTTCTTTTCCCACATCAATGAACATGGATGGATCGACGGAGAAATAAAGGAAAGAGTGAAGGCTGCAGGAAGGTGCTTCAATGCCATCATGAAATGATTCCTCAATTATTGAGAGAAGTGAGTAAAGAGACCAAAACGACTGTGTATAAAAATACTTTCCTTCCGATAATGACCTATTACAGCGAGTGATGGACCCTCACCACAAAACACATCAGTCAGATTGTGACCATGGAGATGCGATTCCTGCACATGGTTGAAGGAAAAACAAAGAGAGATCACACTCCATAATACGGAAAAATCTAAACGTAAGAGCAGCCGAAACTATGATGGAGGAAAATCGTTTGAGATGGTTTGGTCATGTCTCTCAAATGCCAGAGAATCAAATGGCCACGATAGCGTTGGAAAGTAAAGTGGAAGGAAAAAGACCTCAGGGAAGGCCCAGGAAGACCTGGGAGGTCAGTGTCAAGGAGGCCTTTTACAGAAGGAATATTGACTGGAGGAGGAGGCAGCAGTTGTCTCAGGATCGAGAGTTGTGGATACGCCTCTACAAGAAGGCTCCTCACACCGCTTAGCGGTAGAAGAGGAAACAATTAAGAAGAATAAGAGAAAAATACATTTTATATTGATGAAAAATATAAAAAAACACTGATTTAAAAAAAAATAAATGCTGTTTAAAAAATATTATACAAAGAGACCGTCCATCAGTGCTTTTTACACATATATCACTTGTGGGAATTATCCTTATAATATTAGCTGACAAACTAAATGTTTCTATCTTCTTATCCTAATTCTGATATTTATGTTTTCAAAAAAATAATTCAATTAATTTATTTTCCAGAAACGTTTAGTAATAGTATTAAGCTCACACCTTAAATTGGTATTAATGTATTTTTTATCTTTTCACATGAGGATTTCCATTTGCCCATTGATGATGGTATCTGAAATTAAATAACCCATTCTGGAAAAAAGAAATAAAATAGTTAAACAAAGAGTTAACGTTTTTCCATGTGAAATTGGATCATGGTCTCTATGAACTAGCTTTTAAGATCTACTATCACCTCTTTACTATTTTCTCATTATTTATGGCGCACAAATACAAAATAAATATAATTAGGATATATAGTATTGGAGTATATCTAAGTATATATAGATATATAAGTATATATAATACACATTGATGCAACTTTTAAAAATGATCACTTAGAGCAATACTTTTACCTTTTCATAACTATCAGAAATTTAAAAAAATCTATATCAATTTCTTAATTGTTACTGATGTTATAACTTTTTAAAATTATTGAAATATATTTTCATTGAAATTATTTTATTTTTTAATTCAATTTTTTTAAGTGAACTACAACTTAAAAAAAAAATTAATTTAGGTAGAAATCTTGAAAATTTTAAAAGTATTTTTAAAAATAAGTAGGTATATGAAAAAAAACTTAATAAATTTGTCGTTTGCATAAGAGAAATATATTTTCGAAACTGGTGCTGAAAATACTAGAAGTTTTTATTAGACCCTTCTTTCTTTAATCTTTTTTTTTCTTTTGAGTTAGACAGTTATTTATTGGTTTGTTTATTTCTACACTGTCCTAATATTAACCGTCCATCTTAGCTGAAATTAAAGTATTTGTTCTTCAAAGGTAAAATTGTTTTAATTAATTATATAAAATATTATAATATCGAATTTAATCTAATTTATGATTGATACTAAGAATGATATTCACTTTTGTTGTAGCATCGAAGATACTCAGATAACTTATAATTAATCTTTATCTGTTGTTAATCATGTTTTGACTATATAATGGTTATCATATTTGACTATATAATGGTAGTCATAAATTGTATCAAGGCTAAATGCACTGAATTATTATTAGTATAAAATAAACAAAATTAAAGAGAAGTATAAATCCCAATATAAAATGAAAACCCACTGATACGCATTTACTTAAAATTAGGAATATTCATTTGTATATTATTTTTCGCAGAGGACCCAGTTAAAATTGTTGAGGATACTGGGGAATTGGTCATTTTTTCCACTCTCTATTCACAAACATAAAAGTGATGATAAGTGAATGTGATGAAGAATTATGATTATAGCATTTTACGACATGGGGAAGGATTATATCAAGTATTCCCTTGAAAGGAAGTCTGTCATTCAGCTTCTTTTTAGTAACCTACCAGTGGATTTGTCAGCTGCAGTCATATCTTTAATCAGTCTTGTTATTTCGATGAAGTTTATTAACAGGAATGTAAATAGAAACAATAATAAATAATGCATATTTATTGGTTGATGGTTGTAGTAAATCAG